ATAGGATATCAACTCTGGTTCTTCGTTGATGATGATGGGACTATTTCAGCATTGTCAATTATGAACTCTTGGTGTGTTCTTATTTGGTGATTCTCGTGATGCAATTCTGCTGTTGGTTCGAGGTCAAGACTATCTGGACTCGTATGTATGATGTTGTTTGATTGCTGAAGTTCGCTATTGCTCATCTTCCTTGCAAATTTGTCAAATTTTGAAAATCATGAAACGGTATTCACCAGTTCGCAGTAGCGAATGCAGATCCCAGGGCTCGATCCCTAATTCCCCATCTTACCTGTGTACAGTATGGATGTCAACCCGTAGATTTGAACCTGCGACCTGTAGGAACGCCAGTGGTAGGTAGATTGTCGTAGGTCACAGGGTTGAAGAGAATCGAACTGTAGACATGTAGAGTAGGAGCCTAGACAGTTCTGAAGTCGTAGCTGTAGGATGCCTGAAGGGTCAAGTCGTAGCTGCTACAGTACCGAAAGGCCAAGTCAGAGGGTTCTAGAAGTGGCCTTTCGGAATGAGCCTGCGTTGAACAGAGGCAAGTGGTCAAGTGGTGGTAGGCCACCTCGCTGAGTCAACAGTCCCAGTTAAGCAGTCCGGTCCTGTTCAGCAAGTACCGTCTGGGACTGTGTGCACCAAGGGCCAAGGGACACAGGGCAGACCAACGCAGCGCAGAAGTATAAATCAAGAGGCTGCGTCCAGCCATTCATTCATTCCTGCGGAAGCCATGCGGAAGCGCTGCCTCAGCAGCTTGTGCGAGGAGGTCTACAGTGTGCCCGAAGACGAAGTGGGCAGAGAAGCATAGTATAGCGATAGGGTAGTGGCAGCTAGTGCTGCCATAGCTGTAGTGGAGTGTGTGTGTGTGTGTTGCGTAGGGGTACTGAGTGTTGTGTGTGGGACATCCAGGGTGATCCAGAGTGCGAACAGTGAGTTGTGTGGGCGCACAAACTCCATAGCCAGTTGGAAGAGAACTCTTGTCTGGTTACGATATCTTGAGTACTGTGTGGGCGCATGTCGCCAGTTTGTTGTATCGCTGTTTGCATGCATGATATGTGTGAATAAGTCGAGTTTGAGTGCACTAGTATCGGAGCAGGTACCCGTTGTTCCACGCGCCGTTGTGTGCAGGCTGAGGCGCCATAGCTGAGGTGGCCGCTGGAGGAGATTGTCCGCCATAGCGGACCTTCGGTGGAAGAAGCGGCTGCGCACCTGCATCAAGAGGAACACGACGAAGAGGAAGAGAGAGAGAGAGAGAGAGAGAAAGAGAAATGAGCGATCCAAGGTTGGTTGTCACTTACATGTGAGGCGAGTTGTGGAGTCTGGTGGAGAAGGGAGACAGCGGCCATATCCGCGGAGCATCAACACAGAGTACCAGAGGAGAGAGAAAGGGAGGACAGAGAAGGAGGGACTGAGGAGAGAGAAAGGGAGGACAGAGAAGGAGGGACTGAGGAGAGAGAAGAAGAAGTGTGGAAGGAGGAGATTGAAGAAGAAGACAGACATAGCCGGGGGTGAA